GCAGGAAGACTCCGACCCCCCAGGAGATCCAGCTGCTGTCTACACTGGCCATGAAGTCTGACTCCCGCTGCAGCTCCCCTCGACTGCAGGCAAAGAAAGAAAAAGGCATGTAGTAGGCTTACTGCAATGTCCTCATCTCCCTCCTTACCCCCAGAGAGGAATTTGGTCATCATCGTAAACACCAATTACCGGGCACCTACTCCGTGCCGGCTACTGAGCGGTACTGTTTACGCTCCAGCTCTAAGCCTCACAATTTTCTGCAAGAAAAAATTGAGGGACTGAGAAGATGACAGAGGCCAAAGCTAAACTATGATTTGGCTCCAAAATGCAAGCTCTCCACTAAGACTACAGAGAGGCACAGGAGGCCATACAGCCTATGTTGAGACTTCCCGTTACAAACGGAGCTCAAAACGATAAAATGAAAACAACAATAATGGATTAATGTCAAGAGCAAGACATGAGGAAGAATACAAAGACGTTCAGAGAAAGGGTTTTCTGCTATTCCTAGGCTTGGGTGGGTGGAGATAAGACATAAGCATTTCATGGTACTAGTGTTAAGTAGCTAAATTTACTGAATGCTTCCCCTGGGCCAGTCACTATGCTGAGGGCTACATAAGGAGTAGCTCTTCAGATACTCACAATAAACCTAAGTACAATTATCATCACATTTTATAACTGGTCAGACTGAGGCTTAGGGAGGGGCATATAATTTTTCTTCTGTCACATAATTTTGCACGTGGCAGTGAAGATTTGCACCCAGGCCATCTGGCCCTCATGCAAAGCTGTTAACTACTCTGCTATGCTGCTTCTATGGAAAAACATCTCCCTGAGAAATACTTCAGGTCCCAGACCCCAACAAGCCCCAAGGGGCATCAGTGGAGTGCCAGCAGTCAGGAGAGGAGAAATCGAGGTACTAAAGGTCTCTGGGTGGGAGGTGGCAGAGGATGGTCCGGTTGTAATAAGGAAGCCCAGATTCTTCCTGCCCCTCACTGACTTTTTCAGCTACTGTCTCCCCACGTTGGGCATGAACTCAAACTGTCCACAGCATACTTTCCTAGAAAGGTGAAGTTCCAGAAATGGCTTGCCCTATCAATGTCAGCCAAGGGAATGGGGCTGGGGAGAAGGGAGATCTCTTAACCAGGAAGAGCAGAGAGCTAAAAGCAACATATCAAAGTTGACTTTCGTCTTCAGTCACGGAGGAAGTCACTGTGCTAGCGAGGCTGCTCTGGGTATGACACATACAACGTGAAGTGCAAATGCTTTAGAATCAGAAGACCCGGGGTCCAGCCCCGGCATGGCCTCTGTCCAGCTGTGTAACCCCCAGCAAGTCGCTCGACCTCTCTGTGGCTCAGCTTCCTCTTCTGTCTGCTGAGGATAATTCTACCACCTCACCCACAGGACTGCTGAGGGAGCCAGACGGTGTATGCATAATACCTGCACGCTGCGAAGTGCAGTACGTCTGTTTCATGTGCATGCTACCGCCTCAGGAACCTCCAAAACCCTGCACCTGTCGCACAGGTAGCACCTACAGGACCTCCTCGGGTCACCAAGAGAGGCCAGACACATGACCTGTGGCGGGGATGCGGTGGAGGCTGCTGGCAAGACCCGTACAGGCCTCTTCCCCACCACTACCTTCTTAGCTCTGCCCTTCCTTAGTTCAATAAATCCTGTCTCACAGACCTTGTGTTCCGGGGTTATTCAAATGTGGAAGCCCCTACGAAATAACTACATAACGGGATTCCAGTCCAGACAAATCACTGTCACCTCCGCCAGGCTGGCTTCTTCTCTTACCGTCTGGATCTCATCTAATCTCTCCCTCTAACTGAGGGGCTATCCTGGCCCCTCAATCTCCCCCCATACCACGCCTCCCTTTCCCTCCAAACACCCCTAACCCGGCCTCCTTCTTCGCCCAGTGAGCAAACACAGACGGCTCCTGGAGGCGAGACCCCGGGCTGGTCGCGGTGCGCTCCCGAGAACGACCTGGGTCCCTGCCCGCGGGGAGCCGCCCCGCCCCCGGAACGGGCCCGCCCTCACCGCAGCAGGTCCTGCAGCACGGTGGCCAGCCCCAGCGGGACGCTGCCCTTGCGCTGAAAGGCCTCCTGCAAGTCCCGCAGACGCAGGCGCACCACCCCCTGGCGGCGGCTGTGGCTCAGCACCAACGGCGCCCAGAAGCCCATCTTGCTGTCCCAGTCGGTGCTGTTCACTTCGCGACTCCTTTTGAAAGCGGAGAACAGGAAGGACATGCGCTCCTCATCCTCCTCCCACTCGGGGGGCAGTAGGCCCGCCGGGTCTCCCCCGGCCGGGGCCTCGGCCTCCCGCTCCGGGGACCACATTGGAACCCCAGGCCAGCCGAGGCTCCGAACACAGCCCTGGCCCTGATCCCCTTCCGCCCTGGTTCCTTCCCGGCTTCCGTTCCTGGGCCGCCTCCTCCTCTGTCATTACGTCACCGCAGCGTGAAATAAGTCCTTGCCTCCTCACAGCGCATGCGTTTCGCTACCGGCTTGCGCCAGGAGGCGGGATGATGACCCTATTTTCCGAGAAACTCAGAGCGCTTGCGCCGACCCCTCCTCCCGCAGCCTTTGTGCGGAAAGGAGGACTTAGCGCTTGCGCGGCGGGAAAGTGCGTGTCGTGACCCCTCGGTAATCGTGGAGTTTGGCGTGGTGTTGTAGAGAGGCAAACGATTACGCTCAGACTTGCGGTGGTTTCAGGTAGTAGGACTGGAGAGTCCCGCTAAGGGGCGCCAAAGGCACCAGAATCGCCCGCGTGGATCACCGTTTACTGCTCCTCGATCACCGTTTACTGCTCCTCGACCAGGCGTTCTTACTTCGGACATATAATTTAAACTTCCAAGTTAGCTTCCGTTTACGGTAATATCAGCGGATAAACGAAACTGTTGGTCACTCAAGCTCTGTGACAGTATATACGCCGAATTACAGGGATATATAAGGTTCTACTTGCTCCCCACCTTCTGGAGTGTCCCTCTGTTTCCTTCTCAGAATCAATATCCTATGGATCCCTTAAGATCCAGCTCAATTCTGATCGTCCTTGAGGGACTTTCCTGGCGGTCCAGTGGTTAAGACTCCGCGATTCCACTGCAGGGGGCATGGGTTCCATCCCTGGTGAGGGAACTAAGATCCCACATACCACGCGGCGCCCCCCTCCCCCGTCCCAATCTTCCTTGCAACCGTTTCCGACTGTCCTGATGATCTCTTTCCTGGACTGAACAATTTAGCATTTACTAATCTGTGTCTTGATATTTAAGCAATGGCTTAAATACCTACCACGCATAGTGGTTCCGTAGAAATATTTCATAAACTGAAAGGTGAGTAACTTCACTCTTGCCCTTCTAATATCTTAGGATCTTGTTCGAGCCTCACAAAAAAAATCTCATGAGCAAGAAACACGTCCAGTGTGTTAAGAATAAATTGGTTTTCTTTTTAACTGAACCGTTTAAAAGGCGAAAGGAGACCTCCGCACGCATACTGGCTCTCGGGACTGCGGGGCGGCGAGGCTGCGCGCTCTTCCTAGGAGCCGCTCGCTGGAGGAGCGAGTCCGGTGCCCCGGCCGGAGCCTGCGAAGCCGCCGCCGCCCCGCGACGACCACCGCCGCCCCTGCCCTGCCGCCGCCGCCGCCGCCTCGGGACCAGCTGTATGATTAGGCCACAGTCTTCAATGAGTGGACCTATTCCTCAGTTCTGTGGTGTTCTTGGTCACACGTTTATGGAGTTTCTGAAGGGCAGTGGAGATTACTGCCAGGCACAGCACGACCTCTATGCAGACAAGTGAACTGTAGAAATTCATTATACTCCACAAAGATGCCCCATAAGAGTGGTTAGAAACAGTGATTATTTAATGTCTGTCTATAAATCTCATTTTGTGCTGTTATGGAACACCTCCATTTTGAAAATCTGCATTGTACAGAAGCACATGTTTTTTAAGGTCTCCAGACAAAAAAACCTTATAGTTAATTTTAATGTTTGCACTTTGGGGGTAGAAATACTTTGTTATTGTAGCTAAAACTATTCTTAAGCATAAAATTTCTGAAATTCTTGTAATTTTTTTTCATACTTACCTGAGGTTGTTTACAAACTTATTTTTGTTTGAAGTGTGATTCTCAACCTCTCTTGCAAAAAAAAAAAAAACACCTCCGCCAGGCTGGCTTCTTCTCTTACCGTCTGGATCTCATCTAATCTCTCCCTCTAACTGAGGGGCTATCCTGGCCCCTCAATCTCCCCCCATACCACGCCTCCCTTTCCCTCCAAACACCCCTAACCCGGCCTCCTTCTTCGCCCAGTGAGCAAACACAGACGGCTCCTGGAGGCGAGACCCCGGGCTGGTCGCGGTGCGCTCCCGAGAACGACCTGGGTCCCTGCCCGCGGGGAGCCGCCCCGCCCCCGGAACGGGCCCGCCCTCACCGCAGCAGGTCCTGCAGCACGGTGGCCAGCCCCAGCGGGACGCTGCCCTTGCGCTGAAAGGCCTCCTGCAAGTCCCGCAGACGCAGGCGCACCACCCCCTGGCGGCGGCTGTGGCTCAGCACCAACGGCGCCCAGAAGCCCATCTTGCTGTCCCAGTCGGTGCTGTTCACTTCGCGACTCCTTTTGAAAGCGGAGAACAGGAAGGACATGCGCTCCTCATCCTCCTCCCACTCGGGGGGCAGTAGGCCCGCCGGGTCTCCCCCGGCCGGGGCCTCGGCCTCCCGCTCCGGGGACCACATTGGAACCCCAGGCCAGCCGAGGCTCCGAACACAGCCCTGGCCCTGATCCCCTTCCGCCCTGGTTCCTTCCCGGCTTCCGTTCCTGGGCCGCCTCCTCCTCTGTCATTACGTCACCGCAGCGTGAAATAAGTCCTTGCCTCCTCACAGCGCATGCGTTTCGCTACCGGCTTGCGCCAGGAGGCGGGATGATGACCCTATTTTCCGAGAAACTCAGAGCGCTTGCGCCGACCCCTCCTCCCGCAGCCTTTGTGCGGAAAGGAGGACTTAGCGCTTGCGCGGCGGGAAAGTGCGTGTCGTGACCCCTCGGTAATCGTGGAGTTTGGCGTGGTGTTGTAGAGAGGCAAACGATTACGCTCAGACTTGCGGTGGTTTCAGGTAGTAGGACTGGAGAGTCCCGCTAAGGGGCGCCAAAGGCACCAGAATCGCCCGCGTGGATCACCGTTTACTGCTCCTCGATCACCGTTTACTGCTCCTCGACCAGGCGTTCTTACTTCGGACATATAATTTAAACTTCCAAGTTAGCTTCCGTTTACGGTAATATCAGCGGATAAACGAAACTGTTGGTCACTCAAGCTCTGTGACAGTATATACGCCGAATTACAGGGATATATAAGGTTCTACTTGCTCCCCACCTTCTGGAGTGTCCCTCTGTTTCCTTCTCAGAATCAATATCCTATGGATCCCTTAAGATCCAGCTCAATTCTGATCGTCCTTGAGGGACTTTCCTGGCGGTCCAGTGGTTAAGACTCCGCGATTCCACTGCAGGGGGCATGGGTTCCATCCCTGGTGAGGGAACTAAGATCCCACATACCACGCGGCGCCCCCCTCCCCCGTCCCAATCTTCCTTGCAACCGTTTCCGACTGTCCTGATGATCTCTTTCCTGGACTGAACAATTTAGCATTTACTAATCTGTGTCTTGATATTTAAGCAATGGCTTAAATACCTACCACGCATAGTGGTTCCGTAGAAATATTTCATAAACTGAAAGGTGAGTAACTTCACTCTTGCCCTTCTAATATCTTAGGATCTTGTTCGAGCCTCACAAAAAAAATCTCATGAGCAAGAAACACGTCCAGTGTGTTAAGAATAAATTGGTTTTCTTTTTAACTGAACCGTTTAAAAGGCGAAAGGAGACCTCCGCACGCATACTGGCTCTCGGGACTGCGGGGCGGCGAGGCTGCGCGCTCTTCCTAGGAGCCGCTCGCTGGAGGAGCGAGTCCGGTGCCCCGGCCGGAGCCTGCGAAGCCGCCGCCGCCCCGCGACGACCACCGCCGCCCCTGCCCTGCCGCCGCCGCCGCCGCCTCGGGACCAGCTGTATGATTAGGCCACAGTCTTCAATGAGTGGACCTATTCCTCAGTTCTGTGGTGTTCTTGGTCACACGTTTATGGAGTTTCTGAAGGGCAGTGGAGATTACTGCCAGGCACAGCACGACCTCTATGCAGACAAGTGAACTGTAGAAATTCATTATACTCCACAAAGATGCCCCATAAGAGTGGTTAGAAACAGTGATTATTTAATGTCTGTCTATAAATCTCATTTTGTGCTGTTATGGAACACCTCCATTTTGAAAATCTGCATTGTACAGAAGCACATGTTTTTTAAGGTCTCCAGACAAAAAAACCTTATAGTTAATTTTAATGTTTGCACTTTGGGGGTAGAAATACTTTGTTATTGTAGCTAAAACTATTCTTAAGCATAAAATTTCTGAAATTCTTGTAATTTTTTTTCATACTTACCTGAGGTTGTTTACAAACTTATTTTTGTTTGAAGTGTGATTCTCAACCTCTCTTGCAAAAAAAAAAAAAAAAAGGAAGTGGGTCTCTGCTAATGAATTGAGCAGACGTTTAATATTTTATACGCCTTTTGAGCTCTGTAACTTAATATTTGGATACTTGACAATTTGTTTTATTATGTAATGGATAAAATGGTGACGTGTATTAACGTTAGCTCAACTATATATTTATACTGTCTGGGAACATGTGGTTATAGTTCTGTGAGAGAAATAATTTGTCATTGTTCACCAGCTTGTAAAAATCTAGTGTGAGAGCTTAAACATTAAATAAGTGATGAAATGCAAAAAAAAAAAAAAAAAAAAAGGGTGAAAGGAGTTTCTTGTTTAATGGAACCAGGTAACAATCATCAGAGTTGAATGTAAATTTGACTTCTGCCTCTTACTGGCTGTGTGACCTTGTTCAAATACCTAAACTTTCTGAGCCTCTTTTGTAAAATAATATTTCCTAATAGGGTTGTTTGAAGGAAATGTTATGATGTATGTAAAATACCTAGCACATAATGTAATAGGTGCTATCACTGAGTGGCAGGATGTTTAGTAGCTGGGACTCAGTGTAAGGAAGAATGTTAATAAGCATTTTGAAGGAGGGGAAGGGATATGATTGGTTACATGAATGAATGTGTCCATTGATACTAATGTGTTGTGTTATAGTATTACAAGTACTTTCACAGTCAGTATCTCATTTAATACTCGTAACAAGTGACAAAAATTTTCCTCGATCCCGCTCTGGACATGCTCCTCTGAAGCCTCTTCTTAACTATACCTGTCCACCTTGGTCCATAAAGGCATGAACAAACACTAACATAGTTTCTGGCAGCTCGAGGCATATTCATTGGATGACCCTAGCCTCCCTTAACATGCCTACCTGAGAAAACTCAAGGTTGTCAAAAAATTTACTGTATGTTCCAGCCAACAGCTGAAGACAGGGCTCCTGTCTCCTGGCCTCTGTGGGAGGGGAGGAGTCTTACTTTGATAAGCCCTAGTTAGCAAACCCAAATGAGTTTTACAGGGATCAACCCTCCCTTCCTGTAGTTTGTAATTTTTCACTGCCCTGACCCTACTGAGACACCCTCACCCTCTTCCTTCATTCTCCCTTTAAAGAGCCCAGTCACCTCTGTACAAATGAAAGTTGAGTACAGTTCACCCTGGACCCTTTTCTCTATGCAGTAGTATATTACTGATTAAAATCTATCCTGAGCACTTTAACTGGTGTCTGGCTTTGTAAACAAAGACCAGACTTTGACACAACCCTGTGAGATGTTTTGGCACTTCCATTTTTCAGAAGAGAAACTTGAACCACGACTATTTTGAGTCTGGTGGAGAACATTCCAGAAAAGAAGAGTAGTATGTAATGTGAGCAAATGAGTTGTACCCTGAGAGCCATATTTTGGCCGTGCTCTCATGTCCTATAAAATGGCCAGTTGGTTTGTGTCATGAGAGAGACCAGGTTGTTTTGTCCCCTAGGTCTCTGAGTCTGATAAAATAGTCCTGGTCCTAAGCGTTTTCAGGAGAGCAAAGTTGTGCACGTGTGACCACCTGTATCTCAAAGTGCCACTGGGTTCCTGACACCTCTGGGCACAGAGTTCTCTGCTTCCACCTGTTGGAGATTGGAAGAGCTACTGGGAGTGGTGGAGAATGGAAAGAAAGCTCTGCTGATCTTGAGAGGGGCGATTGGGTACATGGCAAGCTCTTTCATACTGCCGGGCTTCCAACTGCTACACTCTTCCTCTGCTCTGCAGGACTGACTCTTTTTCATCCTTAGGTCACAGCTTAAAGGTCACTTCATCAGAAATGCCTTGTCTGAACACCCCATCTAACCTAGCACCCTTGGCATTTTAGAATGGATGGGTCAGTTTGACAACACCTGCTGGTTAATCTTAACATCACAAAAGGAAAGACAAGCAAACATTACTTGCCTCCTGCAGTAATGTGATGGGAAGTACACAAAACCACCTGTCAAGTATTTTTGTCAAAGAATTGAACCTTAATATGATCAAGGCATTAGATCTAAGTACTAGTTGACCGAGGTTAAAAAAAAAAATCAGAAGGCAGAGGAACATGTTAGTGAAAACTGAGGTTGCAATTAGCAAAATCCAGACTGGGGTATTCTACTAGATAATGACCTTGTTTCTTCAAAAAAATAATGGCAACAAAGAGACGTTTAATGGGCAATGTTATTAGATCTGATTTGGGTCCAATTTACACAATCATAAAAACCCATCTATGATCATTAGATACTTTCAATTTTAAACTGGGTATTTGATGATAGTAGCAAATTGAGTGCAATGATATGGCGATTATGTTTTATTAAAAGTATATCTTATAGTTACATCTAAAGTATTTATGAGTGAGACTGTATGATGCTTGTGGCAGGAGGTTGAGTGGAGGACAGTAGAGAAGTGTCAGTGAGTATAAATTTCATATTTTGTACCAGCGCATAGCTCGACACTTAGATATTATTCAATTTTTAAAAAAATAAACAAAGAAATCACCTAGACCTGCATTCTTGTTTCATCTCTGTTAGTAAAGAGCTGCATGGCCTCAGACAAGCAGGTTTCCTCTCAGATTCCTCCTCTGTGAATTAAATGTTCCTATGTTAGGATCTTGAGTTTTTTTTCTAGCGCCCACCTTCTGCTTCTGAAAGTAGTATCTACTGTAGATGTGTGATTGCAGAAGTTCTTTAGTTCTGCCGAGTCTGAAGAACAAAATGCCACCTAAACATCAGCATATCATGGCAGTGATATTTATTTACTGATGCTCCAATATATTTTTGGCCGGACACCGAAGCAGCCTCACTTCAGCCATAAAGCACAAGATCTGCAGATGCGACTACAATGCCTCCATGCTGCACGATGCTCCGTGTCATCTCACCTGCTTATTGGGGATGCTTCATCATTTTTGTAGAAATATGCATGCCCTGTTGCATTATCCAGTTATTTCTAGTTCTTATCTCTACGATTTACAGCCATTAGGACTTGGCTAAAAGAGGACTGAGAAGAAAAATACATTATTCTTAGCCTACAAGGTTTATAGGGGAAGAAGCCAGGCACCGCTGTGTTATGGGAGACTTCCCGATCTTTCTTTCCTCTTCCTTCCTTCCTGCTCCAGGCTGGATTGGGTGTCCCTCCTTATTTTTCTATAACCTGTGTGCCTCTCTATTATTTAATGTGCCACATTGTTTTCTAAGTTTCTATTTGTGTGCCTGT